AGCGTCATCAAACTACGCCTTTGTTTTGAATACGTGCCCTCTAGCGGTGAAAAATTACATATTGTGCCTTTAATGTTATGAAACGCTTAATATCAAAACAAAGGACTCAAAATTATTATGCAACAGGTAGTTCCTACATTTCTAGACAGATTTTTACCGTCACGACTCGTAGAGTCATACCGGCCCTAACTCATGGTGAGGTTAAAATGCGCATACTCGTAGGTGAAGAGCCCCTGTGGGAGCAGCTCCTGATGGGAGGAGAGACAGATTGTGTTTGCAAACACTCACCACCATCTTGTTCTTGGACACCCAGCAGTCGGCGGGGAAATCCTGCAGCATCGGCACCAGGAACTGCAGGCATCCGTCCCAGTGACAGAGCAACAGCATCATTCCAATCAAGTTGACGATTCGCACCATTGCGCTGGCCAGGTCGTAGGTCATATGAAAAATCTGAACGGGGACAGAAGCAGAGACAGGACATGTTGGACACAAGCCGTCACACACTGGTCAATCTGAATGTCACTGACATTTGAAACAGGGCAGAGTATCACCGACTACCTTACAATGTGACACATATGAAACCTGTAAATGCTGCTTTAAATACTCAGACACACAGTACATTTTTCATGAATTGAACTGAAAGGAATTATATGAATGCACACATAAGTAAAACAAAAGTACAAATACAAGGATTTGCACAATACCATGAGAAAAATAACTGCAATATATATGATTTTATCCACACAGTCCTAATTTGGGATGGCAGCATTTTAAAGCATTCAATGGAAGCTAAATTAACATGTGCACTAGTAAAAACAGAAAAATAAAAACGTTAAAATCAATTCAACTGATATGTAAGGCTGGACGATATAGCTTAAAATACATATATATTTCTATGATCAAATTTGGTAACATTTTATAATAAAGTTTAATTTTTCATTTGGTAACATTAGTTAACTATATTATTTTATATTATGAATAATAAAGCATTAATTATTCTTCGTTATATTTTATTAAAATCAAAAGTTACACTCTAAAAAATGCTGGGTTGTTTCAACCCAACTTTGGGTCAAATATGGACTAACCCAACTTTTGGGTTAAAATTTGAATGTAAAAATTTAACCCAACGGCTGGGTTAGTCCACATTTGACCCAATGTTGGGTTGAAACAACCCAGCATTTTTTAGAGTGTAACATGAACATTTTTTAACTAACATTAACAAAGGTTAATAAATGCTGTAAAAATATTGTTCATTAAGCAATATAAACAAATGAGAACTTATTGTGAAAAGTTATTTTTATATTATGTATAAAATATTTATATAATTTATATAATGTAATAATTAATTAAGGTTCATATTATTATTA